GATTTCGGGAAAAGTTGGAAAGAAAATGTTGTTCGGGCGTAAACGCGTTTCAGGCTCCCTTTTACACGCGTATGTTGCAAATCCTGAAAAAAAATGGTACAATGGCCCTATAGGCGTGCAGTACTCGTCGTTGCCGGTCGATACATCTTGGGTAAGGCCTGCTGCAGTTGGGCCCTACTGTGGGTATGAACTGAGATGGGGGAAAATTCATTTTCCTTCGTTGAACCCAGATGCTATGCCAACAGCTAGGTCAAACAAACTCAAGGTGAATGCTACATTTAATGGTGAATAAAACATGCATTCATTTTTTTGCACGCCTTTGACAAGTTTTAGTGTAAATCCTAACATTGTATTTGATGTACGTCGACTGAACCAAGATGTTATTTAGCTGTATACTGATGTATCACCACTTAACACATATGGTAGCTTATGCTGTCAAGGCCAGAGTTAATACAGTGTCTATCGCTCACAGTTTGATTACAAGTTCCTAACTTGAAACAACTACGTCTGCGGTAACAGACTAATCAACAAACTTGATCCCTCTAAGTTGTGTAAACCTGAGAACTGCGTCGGAAGCTCAGATCAGACAGTTTTCCAAGAGACCGGCATTTATGTAAAGAAGAATATTATTAGATTTTGTGAGTGGTGGTGTAAAAAAGTAGTTTATTGGCAGACTCGAAATTCCTAAGTTTAATTGTGTTTTGATTGAAACAACCCATTAGTATTCGTTTATTTACAATCTCTAAATATATTTTTTTGCCAAAACACGTTTGTAAGCAGAATATGTGGAATTACTAAATCATTGGAGCTTATTTTAACCAGAATTATCTTGCATTTTATTATTGAACACCACAGATGCTGTTTTATTAGGGGATATCTGTTAAACATTTGGGTTTAGGATTATTTAGTTTTTTGTTGTATTTTTCAAGTGTCATTTTTGAAAACACGTTCTCAGTTTGCACACCACTCTCAATCCCTTGACTCGCTTCAAAACAGACTGAGCTTAATTAATAACTAGTGTCCCTGTTGCTCGGATTCGAGCAATTGCTAAGTATTACAGGCGTTATTTTAAAACGAATAACAGTCATAATTTCTGATGACTTTAAAAGATTCGACTCAAAGATTATGTAAATACTCAAGATGTACATGACAGATCTATATAATCAACATTTCTTGTAAATATCTTATCATTTTTCAAAAGCTGATCTTGTTTTTTAGTGTTTTCTACAAATAGCCTTACTCATAGTCGCAGTAGGTTACGTATCTAACAGTTCCATATAATCAACATTTCTTGGAAATATTTTATCTTTATTTTACATCTTTATACATCTTTATTTTAATAGCACCTAATAACCATTAACTACCTGATTTTCTGCATAACCTCTCTGTCACAATTTTACAATTAACAAATGTTCTTCTTCTCACTTTTAATTTCTGACAACAGCTGGAGTTTCATAAAAATGTTTGTTTCCCATGTTAATCTTATGGAGAAATACAAAACTTTAATGGGCCCCAGGGCCTCACTCTCTAATTATTTACCTAAAAAGAAAGTTTCCTGCACAACTTCACGTTGTCTGTGTTTAACTACCCAAACCATAACATAGTAGTTTTCAAAAACTCCTTCGCTTGTTATGATGCTGGACTGGAAACCAACTGCTTTAAAGGTCAGATGAGTTGGCCCTGATGAAATCTGATAACAGTTGTCTGCCTAAAATCATTGATAAATTGAACAATTAGGATGCCGTCACATTTTGCGTTAATCCTGGGGATCGCTAATGCTACTAATGTTGATTTTGCATTTTACCGCATTACTTGCATAAATTGGAAAACGGGCAATTTGTATTTATATGCCAATATAAATTTTGATAAATTCACCTTACCAAACTGGGTTTTACCTTTAGTATTTGTTGGTGTCTTTTGGAAACATGCAAAATTGAATGTATTTGTTTATAAGTCTAGTTTTAATGCGTAGAAATTTCATTCACAAAGGGCTACGAAAAACGAGGCGAGTCAAAAATGAATGCTATATCTGAAAGGAACTTTATTTTCTTGAGTTATTTTGTTACATATCTGCAAAAGCCACCATGATCACAAGTATTGCTTACTCGGTGGGTAAGGAAGGGTAGTATACAGTAATGGCGGGAAATTGTATGTTTCGGAGGGACGCAGGGCGTTTCCTGCATTTAAGAGCTTTCCATCTTATTAGGTTTGAAAGGGAAATAATTTTGTTCGTCAATTGAAAGCGTACCTTAAAACATAATCTACTTATAGGGTTGTATCTTCCATAACTATAAGCGAATATTATAAAACTCAAAAGTAAAACGCGGTCCATTACGATAGGAATATTTACTGAAATCGATTTTGGATTGCAAAGGAACTGCTGTATCGTAATATTTTGAGCAATTCAGGTAGAATACCGACGTCGATTTTTTGAGTCAACTAATTCTTTGGGGTCAATAAATGTGTTTTTTTTTATCCAAAATTTAGATTAAAATTATCTGTAAGTGACCTAGAACTTATTGTCGATTATTATTTAAGGGATACTGTCAAATTTGTGGTAATCACTTAAGGTCATTTAAAAATAAAAATAAACGGTATCAGAAATCTAACACATACTTTCTCCCATTAGCTTGTCAACAACCTTTATCATGGGTGATGAGAGAAACTATGGTATTTAATGGCTAAAATCTCAAAAGTTTCATTAACTTTTGAACCGTAATTTGAACAGGAATGAAGGAATGCACTAGCCTATTTACATTGTGGAAATTTTTGTGTTATTTAGGAAGAGGGTTTCTAGAATATTACACAAAGTTTTCTTTGTCATCTACAGAATATAACATGACTAAAGCAATCTACAGGTAAAGAGGCTTGACTTAAATTGAAGAATTAAGGCAAAACCCTTGAATGTTTAGTTTACCACCACCCTGTAGTTGTAATGTATGCAGTATGTGTATATGGAATTCTTCGTTTAAAGTTTAGAATTTTTGGTGATGTTTATGTATTATGGGGGATTATTGTGGACATCTTCCATCACTATTATAGTTTTTCGTTATTGATGTATTTAGGGGGTTTAAACTCTTCTATCAACAAAATTAATATAATATTTTTATTGATCGAAGCGTAAACGTGACTATAAATTTGTCATCTCACAAAGGAAACCACAGTGTAATACAAAAAGAGCAGCTTAACAGGCTCCGTCACTCGTCGAATAAACGACATATCTTGTATTAGAGATACTGTCTTATACGTGAAATACACAGTTTTAGAAACACATAATCTCAAAGTTCCTTTGCCGAGTACAGAGACAATACTGCCCCCCGCGGCGCCGTCTGTAGAGTCTCTTGTTTTGGCCTTAATTAGCAAGGTGAGGATGGCGCGTGCCCAAGGGCTGTTTGCAACTCGCAAGGGTAGTTTTAACCCTTCCCCTACCAGCTTTTGTTATTATGTCTGGTTAATTGCAATGATAACTAAGGACTGTAGTCGAAATGGGGTGGAACATCGAACACGGCGAATATCCACTTGTAATTTGGAGACTAATATCATAGATTAAACGTACTCCCTAAACATACTCCCTAAGGGAGTATGTTTAATCTGCTAATATATTGCAGTAGGATCACCCCTACTGAAGCGTAGGCAGAATTGAAATATTTATTGTGTCATGTTTTGTAGTCAGTCTCACAATTAAATTAATTGAATGTATTTGAAGTAAAATAAAGAAGAAGCATCTCGTTTAGTGTTGTCACAGCTCCATATCTGTATTTTTGTTTAGAACGTAGAGGAAGTTGTACATGAGTCAAAGGAAGTATCAATGGATACTATATATTTAGAGTATCCTTTGATAAATTTAGTAAGATATTTTTCAACTTGATGTATTAGTTTTCACTTGATATTTTTTTCTTTGGTAGATCTTCTATATGTTTACTGATCTTTGCTCTAAATTGTTTAATGTTTTGTGGTCTCTTTAATTCTCTTACTAGTATTATAAACCACGCAGTTACTATAAGATACAGTTGTTTGATAATCTTGAAAACCTCCGTAACAACTGGATATCATGGACTCTCTTTACATAGTTTATTACTAATCAAACCTAGCCTATTTCCGGATCGGGAAAGCTTGATGCTTATCAGGCGTTCATCGGTGGACAAATAATAGCCTTACACGGAACTCGTTTTCTCACTTAATTTCTGCCTCTCTCTGTCGCTCCCGTTGTAGGTGTATCTATCCCTCTCACTCGCACACACAATGTAGGTGTATGTTATGTATCTTTCTCTGTTGGAAGATGACTCACCCTTCTATATATAGTCAGTCTACTCCAAGACTGGATAGAGTGTGTTGGGTGAAAGACGGGTCTCGGTGGGATTCCCCTACAGCGAGTCTTCTGGCAGATTGCCTGTGTTTTGATGCTTGTTTTGACATCTGGAACTATGTTTACATGTTGGTCTGTGTAAATTTTTGTTTACATTATTCTGTTGTGTTATTTTAATGAATTGAATGGTTAAACTTTTGGATACTGAAGAACACATTTGGGTGTATATGGACCAGTTGATGCCGTTCTTTTTAACGCGCAGGTTATCACTTGGCACATTGTTTGTAAACGGCGTAGGCTACCGAAGTTCTACTGAAGTTCTACGATTATTTACAGAACAATTTTAAGTGATTGCTACAATCAGGGTCATTGCCAGTTTGTGTCGTTATAGATATACGTAACCCAGAATGCATCTAAACTGAAGCAAAATGGATTGCTGTATTAAGAGGAGAGATATTAGTAACGAAGGGAGATTGTATGTCTTACTGACGAGAACACTTTTAAATGGTATCTTGGGTGCTTAGCTAGCTTAGTGGTTTGATTCCTGGCATATCTACTTCAAGACATGTGTTGTATCTATAACCTCTTCAAAATGACACAGACTTGAACAGAAAACATGTAAGGGTGGTCTACTAGACGTACTGCAAAACTCTCTTGTACTTAGCTCCTCTTGACTGTGTACGTTGTGTTGTAGATGCTCTGGAGGTGGAGGTGCCGGGAGCACTTCTGGGAGTCTCCCTGTTGCTGGTCAGTGTCGTCTGTATCATCGCCTGTGTCTGCTGCAAGGAGAGGAGGAATGGGTTCAAGGTAAGTCATTACTTGTTCACTAATAATGTTGTGTTTATACACTAGTACAATGTTTACTTTCCTGCTGATCACATTGCCAAACATGCAACTAGGGCTACTTGGACTATATACACTGACATTTCAACTTGTCTAACCAAAATCGGACAATTGCCCCATCAAATAATATTTTCCTTACACAACTACAACGTATACTGACAAAATCAACTTTTTGACATCGCAACGTTTACGAACTAAACCCTGACGAATTCAACGTACACAAACTACACGTTAAAATACGCAGCTTCAATAAGCTAAACTTTAAACCCCAACCTTGAAGAGCTTCCTTAAAACTTCGGCCTAACCGGATACTAGAAGAATATTTTTATTACATACTGCATTCTAACTGACATGGTTAACATTAAGAAAGGCGAGACTAAAACTAGACGTTATACATTTAATTCATTGATCTTCATTTTGAACGTAGTACTCATAGAGTAGAGATTAACTACAAAGTCACTTGAGCTAAGGTAAACATACAAGAATAACTGCGACATGCGCTGCATTTCCTCCAATTTTGCCATTACATCTACAGTTAAGGTAATCCTTTCCATCTTATGGGAAATGATGGCGCTCAATTTCTAACGGTAGACAGATTGGAAACCGCACCGGACCACTCTCCGGCCACCGCAGCCAATGCGGACCCAAACGTGTTAACACCCTTGAAGGTCTTCATGGCGGACCGGAAGCGTAGGTGGAACCGGAAGTGGGAAGTGCCATCTGAATCGCGACGTGCAACAATGCCGACAGCGGTCATTGTGGTGCCGTGATCATAAAGGCATTGATAGGTCAATGTGCGATTTAGTTGAGAAAGTGTATCTTTAGAGCACATAATAGGTACAACACCTTTGGTATACATTGTCTTTAGAGCTATTCAGTAACTGATTAAGTAGTTAAAATCGTTGAGTGTTACCTTAGGCTATAACCATTGACACACAGAATATACTTCCCATGTAATGTAAACATTTTAAGCCAAGAAAATAGATGAAGTTCAGGACCATCTCACCAGAGACCAGAGGGTAATAGTGTATTGGGTTGAATATTAACGATCAATGCAGTATCATCGCAAACAGTTGATTTATCACTTGACACAGAATCTTACTAATATTATAAATGTGAAAGTTTGTGTGTTTGTTTGTTTGTTTGTTTGAAGCTCAATCACGCATTAACTACTGGACGGATTAGTCTGAAATTTGGCATGATGATAGCTCACATTCCCGATTAACATATAGGCATATTCTTATCTCAAAAATCCTTTCGGGCTCCGCCCCAGTGGCTTTGTAGTTCCCCATGTTAACCTTATGAGTATTCATATTTAAAGGGAATTAAAGAATTTAGTCAGCTGGTTCAAATAAAAAAGTTTGTTCTATTAAATGCATAAGCATAAAAAAGTTATGAGATTTACCAACAGGGTGCAGCATTATTCTTTTTGTTGACAGCTAATTTGAACTCAGTTATGTTTATGTTTTAAATTTAATGAACAATTTAAGATATCTTGAGAATGTTATAATTTATTTTTCTATACTGTTTAGGTGAAGTGGTAGAACTATATGGCTATGGTATATGTGTAATACTATAGTATACTGTGCCATAAGTTTAAAGAAGCAAATTTTATCAAACTGTGTCCTCCCCCACTGCAAATGCAAAGCTTGAGTATAACTGCAATAAGCATTCATACTTATATGTCAACCCCGTACGAAGGACGGGTAGGTACTCTGCTAGTATTGTCATAAGTTAGACCATCTCAACAGATTGCACCACGTTTTTTGCTTCAAACGTTTACATTTCATGGGAAGTTATTCTGTGTATAGTCAATGGTACAACTGCCAACCCACCGTTTTTAAAGTAACGATAATTCAATTTAACAGTTTATTTTGGATTTTAATAGATTTTGGAAAGTGGTTTTGGTATATTATTTTACCGTTAAACGCTTCGCCGAGGGGTCGTTATCAAACTATTTATTGATAAGATACGTAACGTGGTCCTAAGCTAAATAATCTCAGATGACGCGACGCCAAGATTCGCAAAGTGACATCGATTTATAACTATTTGCTAGAGTTGTAATGTCTGTTGTTGGACCAGCACCAGCTGGACGATTGTTGTGGGAGGAGGAGGGTGACGTTTATATGCAGCTCACGTCACTCAATACTGCACTGTTGACTGTAGCCAACCTAGGGTAGGTCGGGTCTCAGTCATACTTTATGGAGTTTCTCGTGATTTCTCCAGGGACATTGAATATGACCAAAGTCGTTGAGATTGTACTGTAGAAACCTCAAACGTGTACAGATTGAGTAATGAACCGGTGGGTGGCGATCGTCTAAGTTGAGTGCTGAAGTACAGGACCGGTGATGCAGAAAGGCGCTACCAATACGATATTTCAATGTTGATACGACTACTGTACGATGAGTAACTCATTCTCTGAGGCACATGTCATGACAACAGACAACAGAGATATGCTGTTGAGCTGCGGTAGTTGGTTTGTTTATCACATAGTTATGACCAAGTTAAAGCCAATTACGTTTCAAAACGTTATAACAAACCCACAAACCGGATGGTAAAATAACGGTTAGAGAAAGATACGATAGGTACGGTTCAGCTTGTATACATGCGGTCCCAAACGTTACAAAACAATTGTATAGAATGATGCGACCTTATACAGTACGGTAGTTAGTTTAGAAGTCAATGTTAGTTAAAGTATTATTATTTTGAGTTGATGGTCATCCCTTCTCTGTATATACCAATACGTGGTTCCTTCTATGCTTAATATTTCACCGAGGTACAGCTACTAAATTATAATTAGCCTAAGAATAAATTAAATGATTAAATAACTTAATAATGTTTTCAACTCGATATCTTTTGGATACAAAGTTACGTATTTCAACTATATTTTGTCATGATCAAACTTTTTAAGAAAGAAAAAAATGTGTTAATCGCCTAGGCCCACTAGGCCTTAAGTTATTGAAATATTAAAAGACGATAGTAAAAATTTAATCTATGGAAACTGAAATCCGAATTCCTTCAAAGTGTTTCCAAAAGGCTCTGGGTGCCTAATCAGTTTATTTCGCTTTCCAGAAATACGTATGGTAATTTTGAAGGACTAACTCTGTTGAGATAATAGCAGGATAAGGATACAAATAACGTTGATGACTCAAGTTGCCAAACTTAGATAATGGAGTCGAGTGTAATGGACAAAGTTGGTTTTAGTAGTCATCTTTAAGGGTTTGATGCTGAAAAACAAAAAAAGTTTGGGCTTGATCAAGTTGTTTTAGCCCTGTAATTTCATGTTTTCAGACTAGCCTAATTTTAGTTTGGGTGATAAAAAGGTTATTGTAAACTTAGAATCACTCTTTTTTTCCTATTGTCTACAATAAGTACGATAAATTACTGCATATTAGAGTTATGATAGCTAAAATCTTTTTGAGCGAACGTTTTAGGTATTAAACTTATCTCAGTAAAGGTTTTACAGTTTGATTTGATTAACATGAAGCGCTGTATTGTTAGTCTACAGTGAACTCATTAAAGATTGAACTTACCAAATACAATCTATTACGAAGTATTGTATGTATATTAGGCGTAGTCCAGTTTTCGGCGGTCCTACCCAGGTACAGTCCGCCCTCGCTTGTAGGGGTTCTTGAAGTGCTTCTTGACCTCGACTGTACCATACGTTGTAATTGGACTCTTGTTTTTGTCTTTGTTGACTTATTTGGATCCAGCTCGTCGCCTCGGCTGTGGATACAGAGGATTATACCATCTGTAGTCAGTTATCCAAGATCAAACAAGACAAAATGGTTTAAAATGTAATAAGAGTTTTATAATTATGAATGAAATGATTTTTACAAAATGCAGTAACCCAAGTAGCAATGCTAATTAGGACTGAGATATCTTCTAAGTAATCAGATTGTTGTACGGACTTCTACGAATAGAAAGATTTGCCAGAGCGTAACCCCGAGTATACAACCTCCGGTCTGCTCGCTTAAGATGAGTGTCGTTTCAATAAGTCTCCCATCCTTCAGACGAATATACCGACGAGGCTTTTGTATGGGCTGATGCCCAGTTGCACCGATGGTAAGGGGAATTTGCAAGGGTCAACAAAGTCCTCCCTCCCAAGAGTGCCCAGTTGCACCGCCGGTCAACAATCTGTCACTCTAGGATGCTTCTTCCCCTCCTCGAACGCTTTTATATACCTATTCTCTCTTTTACGTTACATCGTATATAGTCTGCGCTAAATATTTACCATATATAGGGATCTAACCCTTTCTTTGCTACGGAGTAAAGAGTAACAAACATTACAAACACATAGACTGATATCAACACTCTATCCTAACCTGACCTAATCTAACCTAACCCAACCTAACCCAACCCAACCTAACCTAACCTAACCGTTTACCGTACTAACTACGTTTAATAATATTTCAATGCGAGGGGAGGGCGTCAGGGATCTTTGACCGCCGGTGCAACTGGGCATCGCCCTAAAATGACGATCGGTGCAACTGGGCATTCGAGATCAGGGCCACCCCTGACCATCGGTGCAACTGGGTAACTAACTGTACTGCCTTTGTATGTGTCTTCGACCACAGGGAAAATACGAAGAGTTGTCACTCTTTATTTTGTGGCTCTACACAACACACTCTAGCTCGGCCACCAACACGTCGTACGTAGGATGACAGAGGTAGGTTGATCAAGGACGGTGGCATTGTTGTCTGGTGTCTTGTACATGCTGATAAATCCCGTTGTGCTGACAGGGTGTCGACTACTGTTGATTTTATACCAGATTGGTTATTGCCACTGGAAGAAATGTACAAGTTGCAGCTTGGTGACTTTTCTGATCTCAGCTTTGTTGCGTAGTTTATGGCGGTTGGACGCGTTCCGAAACAGTACATATCAAAATGTCATCACGAATGCTATATGCACTGTGGATGCGATACTCCCTGGTGTGGATTAACGTCCGCACGGGTGAGTATTAC